TTTTTTTTTTTTTGGGAGGGGAACTCTTACGCTTGAAACCAAGGGTACTGCGGATCGTAGATGAGAAACTGCCTCGCCAGCGCCGCGTACGAGTACCCTGTCCAGGTAATGGCCAGCATGAAGAAGACGGCCACGGCGCCGTTGACCCGCTCGCCAAAGTACAGCTCCGACATGGAGATGGGCGTGTAGCCCAGGTTGTACGTGGCGCCCGAGGCGGCGGAAATGGTCACCAGCACATGCTCCTTTGTGCTAAAGGGGCCCGGGTTCAGGCTGAAGCCGTACCGCGTCAGGGGGATGCGGACGCGCCACGCCGGTAGCACCTTTGCCAGCCACACGCCCACGTAGTTGGAGGCGATCTGGACGAAGAAGACGGAGTAGGGCGCGTACGTGGTGCGAAAGTGCGCCATCTGCGAGAGGAACGCGCCGGGGGCGACGAAGAGAATCGTCAGCAGGAAGTAGCGGAACGTGAGCGTCGGCTCCGTCGTGTCGTCCTTGAAGCTGACGATGCGCCGCACGTAGGGCGGGATGTCGCGGACCCGCGGGTCGTCCTCCGAGACGGCCTCCTCCTCGCCGTTGGCGTTGACTACATTGTACAAGACGCGGGCGCCGTTGTTCTCGGCGTCCTTGCTGAGCGAGTCGCTGTGCTGGTCGGCGGCGATCTGGGGCCCTGCCTTCTCGTCGACGCCCACGGCGGCGGCTGCGTCCTCTGTGACGACGGTGGGCTGGGCCGTCACGGCGTCGGACAGCGGCTCGTCTAGCTGGCCTGGTGCCATTATTGATGGCGTTTTGGACAGATCCCTCAAGGAGGGAGTCGCGGGAGGGGGGGCGTCGGGAAAGGTCGATCAACTTGAACTTTCTTGGCTGGCTGATCCTGCTGGGCCAGGACGTGCCTATTTATTGACCACGATTCTGTCTAGGTTACATTCTTTTCGTTAGACTCGCGTGTAGCACGAGCTGTGGCTCCGGAACGGCCCCATGCCCCATTGCCGATGGCAACATTTGAATTGACGCTTATCTAGTCAACTGGTTGGCTCCTGCGCTAGAGCCCACCGATGGATGGTCAATATATCATGTCGAGCACGACGTCGACGATTCGGCTTAGGCGGCTCGTGTCAACCCCGCAGAAACATGCCTCGCAAAGGGTGGTGTCACCAATAAGCTCTCCCGGGTGGAGGGTAAGCTCAGCACGCAATTGGCAATGATGCAAGGGTTTGCAGTCACCCAACTCCAAGTTGGACCGTCTCACGAACGGCATGCTCTGTGGTTGTGGTTGTGAAGAAGCCTGCTGAATTTGGGTACTGCAAGCCACATTGGTCAGCCAAGCCGGCCCGATCCCCTCTGGTCCACACCCAAGAAAGGACCAAGAGATGTGATCAGATCCAAGACGGACGCCACGGATGGGTTATAGATTGGCGGCTTGCGGGCGTCGGCGGCGCTTCGGGAAGGGCTTTCTGATGCCAGCCCGCCCATCTTGATTATCTTTCCCGGCATTGGCCCGAGGCCTTGTGACCGTCATTCCATGGAATGGTCCAAGGGCATTGTGGCTTGACATGTTCAATGTTTGGCTTTGGCCCGTCACTTTCTCCTGGAGCTGGCCCGGTCGCGAAAAACAGCCGACTTTTGAATGGTCAACCGTTTGACGGAACTTTTGCAATTGGGGCGCCGGCGCGAATCCATACTGGAAATGGGGCGTTGGGGAAATATCGTCCTGTTTCTGGAGGGTTTGGAAGATTCGAAAAGGTCGTCAGAAATGGTGTGATTGACCGAGTGGGGATCCTGGAGTATCATTGAGCGGCGGCTCGGAGGAGACGGCCATGGACATTACCTGAGTACTCGGTACCATGAATGATTTCTGGCATCGACATGTTCAAAGACGCGTGTTGGGCAGTTGAAGAGCTCGAGGTGGAAGCGCGCGAATGTATGCATTGCGAGGCAAAAAGACTGGTCCGGTTTGAAACTCTTCGGGGCAGGGATTGCGAACCGACGACGGGCCCATTTTGGGCTAGCGGGCAGCCGTCACACTGTACGTACCTTGGGTGGGTGCATGAACAGCACTGGCCAATTTGATCGATCAATTGATTGAGTACTCGGTACATGTACCGCGCTGCACATGTGAACAAATGATGGTACTCACACACCTCCGGCTACACAGGTTTATATAATACTGCAACGCAGCGTTTTGCTTTAGAATCAAGGCGGACAGGCTTTATTCTTGTGACAGCTCCCATACATGTACCTACATTTCCTTGTCATGTCGGTCTTTTACAGTGGCAGCCCGAGCCATTAATTTCGCGGCTACACTCTTTGTTGAATTGACATTTGGTCTTCACTCTAGCTACCCTAAAGTCAAGAAATGTTGCCTGTGGGGCTGCCGGCGGAAAAACCTGGCGACCGTGGCCCTGGGAAAAAGCTGACCGCGGACCCGGGAGCTTCTGAGCTCTCTTTTTCTCATTTTACTTGACTTTTTACTTTGGCATATAAATGCCGACAATAATCGCATAGCTAGTTGCTAGTATACTGTTGTAGTTTGGGATTTGCCCAACCTTGGTTGTTGGCATCGACCGTATAGCGTCAAATCGATTGAGTCTGGAGACGCTGGCACTTTTGCCTCTCCGGCATTCAATGTTGGGTCAGGTTTGCGCCGACACTTCCCATGGTCGCTGGGGGGGCTACTCCTTAATATGTCCGGTACTTGATCATAATCTAAATTATTATTGAAACGCCTTTTTTTAATACCAGTCATTAATCAAATCTCATGAGGAATAACCCGCGCACTACCAGACGATGCCCCAACATGCAACGGGGGTGGCCCCTGTCGGTCGGAATTTATCACGCGCAGCGATGAATGAGTAAGGCGCTGAACCGGACATTAGTCAAGTCAATTTGACCGAAGAGGCAGCCGTCAGTCATCCCAGTCAGGCCTGGCACCTCCACATATAAATTTCGCTGTCAAAATACCTGTCGTACAAACAGGGCTCAACGGCCCTATTCTAGCATCATCAGATACCACAGCCATGAGCAGAACTCGCCATGTAATAATTCAATGTTGAGGTAGCACAAGTAGGGCCCCGGGCCGACTCGCCAATGGTAAGCCATCTGATTGTAGAAGCTGCATTGCGTGTTGTAGTCAAGACGAGCAGATATGGAAAAGAAAGGAGGCAGATTTGATCAATAGTAAAACCATGTCTTGAAAGGACCTTATTTACACTCTTACGAATCACCAAACGCCGGGGTCGTGGCGCGCAACAAAACATTCGAGAACCATCGCTGGCATCTCTTGGCGGGTTAAAAAGCTTTCCAATGCTCTTGCTTGCTTACAATAAACTACCAGGAGTCCAGGACCACCGCACAATGCAACATTGAAGCCTTGCAAGCACTATTTGGGACCTGGCCGAGACAAGCCAACCACGTGACAATACGCCCTTTGAAAGGTCGACGGTTCAATCTAACCCCAATTGAAGAGAAACAGCTGACTAAAATATACATCTTTCAAGAACAACACTCGTATTACACTCACGGATACAACACTTCACGCGTCGTTTCCGCGCTTTAGTAGATGGATCCAGCTATCCTCTCATTTACGCACCATGACCACTATAGATAAAGTCCCTCTCTCGCAGTCCATAAAAGGAGATTCTACCGGGCATGCACCTGTTTTCGCACCAACACACCGCCTGTTCATCTCAGAGGATCGTGTCGACGACTCAACGAGGCTGCTAGTCGACTCTAGTTTATGCCATCCGAGCTGCCGGCACAGTGGCGTTGATAGTCTAAAGTGACGCGCAACTCGGGACGACTTCAAAAAACACACGCAAGGCTGTGAAATGATCGGACTGTCGCAAGCCACCTACTATATCCGTCCGGTGCATGCCTGGTGCGGGCCAAGTTGGGCTCGCTGGGTGTTTCAGCCACCCGCGGCACAAAATTAAGCGCTGAATGCGCCAGATAAGCTTCAACGTTGCATGTCCACTGGTTTGCCCTATATCTGGGGTCCTTTGCAGGCCGGCGTGCAACACGAGACGTGGAGGGTCATATGTGGGCTGTGAGAACTTTGGGCCGAGTCCCACACGTTCCCTTGGGACAAGAGCGGGCCGAGAACAATGTAACCCCTTAATTAACCTGTTCACATCAACATTGAATCCTAAAGCTCCCCATATTATGCGAACCATGTCGCAAGTGCGGTCTGGTGTGTAAGTAAGCCAACGAGGCCTACTGCCAACGCCTGGCCCCTCCTTGGAAACTGCAAGAAAAAGGCATCATTGATGCATCTCATCGGCACCATGGCCAAGTACAGCTCAAGCACGAGTTTTTTTTTCTCTTCTGTTTGTTTAAAAATTCATGCATTTACGCATCGCGGCAATGGCAACATGTTGACCGAGTGTAGACGTCGCCAAGTCTCCCCGAGGACCTTTTGCATTGTCGGACTGGATATTCGTCAGGAGGTTAGCCAACTTGTGAAACAAGCCGAACCTGGAAGCAGTTCACTCTGGCGCACATAGTCGGCTCCATCGCGCCTTGCTCTGTTGGGCCTGTTGGCTGAAATGAACTTGGCTACCCTTACTCGGTCGGTTGCTGGAATAGGAAGCTGTGTTTTGCAGATCCCAGAGGCCCGAAAATTCGGGAATACATCCGGCTGGACCATCAGCCTCCCGCCTTGTCACTGGTCCTGCTTCTTCACGCCCTGAGCTTGTCGTCGGTTAGTCAGAGCAGTTATCCCTGGTTCTTGCCCACCTGCAACATTATGCGTGGCTCGCTGAGCTGAGAATCGAGATGATCGCGCGGCATGCTTGGGATTCTACCTGGCCGGAGGCTTCCTTTGCGGGATATAAATATGAAGGCTTCTGTCTGTACATGTTCGTCTTGCTGCCTCTTCACCTTCACCTTCATCTCTACATTCATTTACATCTTCACATTCGTTCTTTTTTGTTTTACCTTCATTCATTTCTTCATCTTTCTCGAAACTTTTATCCAGTCCCAAGGTGACTGGCTGGTCTTGTACAATGAAGTTTCTTTCCTGTGTGCTCGCCATTTCCATGGCAAATGTTATCAACGCCGGCGTCTTACACGCACGAGATGATCTCAAGGACTGCGCAGAGGCTCCTCCCAGCGAGGACTTCTTGAAGATTTCCCAGCAGCTGCTGAATTCTTCTGCGCCTCTGATTGCCCGCCAACAGCAGAACAACTACAACTTTCAAGTTCACACTCACGTTGTGTATTCTGACCAGAGTGTCAAGGGCGGCTATCTGACCGTAAGTTGCAAGCTGCCCCCCTCGCGTCACGATGCGGTTTATACTAAGCCTTGGCCCGTAGGAAGACATTATCAAGAAGGACATGGATGTGATGAACAAGTATTTCAGCAGGTCTGGAATCTCCTTCACCCATGTTTCCAACGACTACACACAACATCAGGTTTGGTCCAAGGGCCAAGATCAAATGGGGATGAAGGCCAAGCTGCGCCGGGGTACCTATGCAGACTTGAACCTCTACTACGTGGCATTCATCCCGGGCCCTGCCGCCGACGGGTCAGCCAGCGCCGGTATCTGCTGGCTCCCCATTCCCAACGGCCGCATTTCTGAGGAACTCTTGATCCAAGATGGTTGCCTGATGCTCGCCGAGACTGCCACCCCGCGATACCCGAGCGACATGACCACCACCCACGAGGTCGGTCACTGGCTGGGCTTGCTGCACACGTTTGAGGGAAACGCTTGCGGAGAGGGAGATACCATCGAGGACACGTTCCCGCAGCAACAGCCCACGCAACAATGCGAGCGAGTCGAGCACAAGCTTCAGGATGGCCGGCCGGCCGCCCTTGCTTGCAACCAATGGTACCCAAGCAACATGTTCAACCTTATGGATTACTCGTGAGTGGGCTCTGCTATCCGTGACGGGGAACTGCAACAAGGGTTCTAACTTGCCATCTAGGACCTGCTCCAACACCTTCACCCCCGGCCAGGAACAACGCATGCAGTACTGGGCGCACATGCGTCGACAGATCGGAGGCCCTTCGAAGCCGGAGCCCAACCCGCCCAAGCCGGAGGACCCCAAGCCCGAAGACCCCAACACTCCCCCTCCTCCTCCTCCTCCCACTGACAATGTGGCCAACATCTGGGAACAGTGCGGCGGTAGAGGCTGGAGAGGCCAAACTGCCTGTGCCCAGGGCCTCGTCTGCCTGGAGATGGGCCCGTGGTACTCTCAGTGCCGCATCGGTTAAGCTGAAACGCGGCTGCGCCACACGCGAGGTTTCCTTTCGATTCCTAGAGTAACATATTTGACTGGTGTATTTTGGAAAGTGTAGTATATAGTGTCAAGTATGTATTGAATATGAAATACTATGCTCCCTTTACGCGTCGCAACGAGTAACGGGGAGTGTGGACGGTGTATCTGAAGTTTGTATTTACTTGGTGAAACTCGACGAGCTGTCAGACCTGATGTTTTGGTTCCTGTACCCATACCACTGGACGTAATGGAATTACATGGCGATGATAAATCAAAAAGATGATCCGTGTAGGAAATATACTTGCGTTGATTTTATTTTTAATAGAGAAGTTGGCAACGTGGTGCTTTCAGCCGACATTTGCGCTCGCATGACATTCGAATCGGGATTAGGAAGCTCGTTGTCGGTGCATAAAGCCGCAAGCGCTGCTTACGAAATCCGAGGCGTGGTCTCCGACGCCGGTGCCCACTTGGCTTCACAAATGCATGACCAGGGACCCTGGCATCGGGCGATTTACTCCGCCATCGTGTCACTGAGATTTACAAAAAAATATATGCAACACTGGGTAATATTCGCTGGCCGTCACCGACCCAATTACTAGTCCGGCGCTCTCTGCAGGGTCATAATGGTTTCCCTGATGCTGTGCTTCTGGTTCATATTTGACCCTTGGAAGCAGGCTGCTATAAGTGCAGCCGGTGTAGGTTCTGTTCGTGATGGCGTTGGATATGGTTGGAATTGCATATGGGCATTTGCCTTCGTGCGAGTATCCTCGGTTGTAAATGGTGCCACTTGCATGTTTAGGTGGTCCTTAGGGTTAAATCTAAGGTTACCCTTTCTAGTCTGATTATTAACTTTATAGTATATACTGTGTGGCGGCTTTAACGCTTATATAGCAGAGGAAATTAAAGAAACTATTTAATTATATTATTTTA